AGTCGATGCAATCAGCTGGTTTTCCTTAGATAGAAAACTTTGAATCAATCTGACTGGATGATCTGGTGAACTGGAAAGTGACCTGAGATGACGTGATGTGAATTGGAGCTATAGAAATAAACTGAATAGAATTGAATTCTAGACAGGGGCCAACGGGGGCCAGTGCCCCTGTTATGGCCCCTGTACTGAAGACATAATACTCAAAGATGAACACAATGATGAACAGACGTGGTTACTGATAGGTCCTTCGGATCTATTTCAGTTTTTTTCCTTTAAAAATTCTGTTTTATTAATTATTTAAAAAAAAATAAGGTGATAGATTCAGTGGGATTGCGATAGGATCCAGGTTTTTCATCCGCTCAATGCTTTTTTTTTTAACAAACAAAAAAAATGCTCTAATTTTTACAGCTTAATTTATCAGTTTTTTTTTATTTCTAATTCTGGTTTTATATATATAAAAAAAGGCAATTTTACTTAAATTAAGTCACATATGTAAAATTCCTAAATCCTGAATGTATATTGACCCAATAAGACAGAATTGTAATTTTTCCTTCATGCAGCTCTCTTAATAAATTTGAATCCGTTGCCCTGGTTTTTATTTCAGGCTTTTCTGGGCCCCCATGAAAACACGCTGGCCCCCTTCTGCTCCCCTGGTACATTTGGTCTAGGACCGCCACTGATCATGCTCACACACCCACCGCCGTCCTGCTTGTGAGTAATTATAGTGAAACACTTGAGGCGCCACTCTGAGCACGTTGGGCTCGGCTTCCTCTGCAGCAGGTGATCAGATAAACCTGCTGCTGCCACTCAGGTCAGTGACAACCATCGCTTCCTAACAGGATCACAATCTCTGGCCACGCCCATTATTTTAGCCACGCCCCACAGTAAGGCCACTTCCTCTGGGCGTTACGCCTGAACATTTTTAGAAACAGTCTGAATGTCTGAGCTGATCCCGTCCGGCTGCATCCTCTATGCTTCTGAACATCTGAGGCTTTAACAGCCTGCTGCAACCATGTTTATAAGTGTGAACTACTGAAGGGGGCGGGGCCTGTTCATGTAGCCCCGCCCAGTGTGTGTGTGTGTGTGTGTGTGAAGCTCACCTCCTCCGTTCTTGTAGCACAAGTAGGGGAATCTCCACACGTTTCCGAGTCCAACAGCGAAGCCCACACAGGACATGATGAAGTCCATCTGCCGGGTCCAGGTCTCACGCTCCTGGTACCCGGGGCCCACCCCGCTGACGGGGCCCCCTCTCTTATCCGGTGCAGGACCGCCTGCTGCACCCGGACCAGCCGCCGGGACCAGGCTGCCATTAGCGGCTGCAGGAGGGTAGCCGCTGCCGTTGGACAGGAGGAGCGAGTTCTTCTTGGTGTCCTCCAGATGAACCACTGAGCAGGGGGAGGCGGGCAGAGCCTGTTTCTCCATCGCTGGCAGGACTGGAACCAGTACAGACCCAGTCAGGAATCAGGCGTCAGTCCAGAACCAGTAAAAGTTCTACTGTCCAGTCTCAGTCACCCCCAAACGGCTGTTTTCTTCTTCTCAGATTTCAGATTCTTTCCCAAACTAAGGTTACCAGTCAGACACCAGTAACCAATCAGAACCAGTCAGAGATACCAGTAAGAAACACTATACTGGTTTTATGGGTTTCCCTTGTTACCTCAGATTTGATCCCCTTTCCCTTTCAATCTAAACTATTTCTAGAACCAGTAAGAACCAAGTTAGAACCAGTCAGAGCTTTTCAGAACCAGTCAGTTTAAATATTCCCTTTGATCAAACTTTGCAGCTTTCTAACTTTCCACAGCTGCTCCAAGTCTCTCCCAGTCAGTCTCTGTCTGCTTCTCCTCTCACACCAGTTCAGAACCAGTAACCTTCCAGTAATCCCAGTCCACCTCCAGGTAGAACCAGTCAGACCCAGCAGGTCCAGTTCAGTCCCCTGTGGACCCTCTCCTCTCTGAGAAACACTTTATTTTTTATTTTTTATTGATGTGTTCAGTTTATTTTTAAACAATTAGTTAAAAATAGACCAAAAACAGAAACTGAGAAATATTCTTAAAATAAATTTTTTTTTTTCTGTCAAACTGAAATCAAAAGGAAAAATGGGAGCCGACTTTGGGTCGCGACCTTCAGAAACAATCCACGAAGCACTTGAATGTGAGTCTGAAGAATCGCATGGGAACTGGAGTCACGGAGGAGACGGAGGCCTGCTGGGAGACGGAGCGGGCGGAGCGGGCGGAGCGGGCGGCCGAACCGAACTTATGGTTCCGTTAGAATCAAACCAAAGCGGCTCCGGAGCGCTGCAGGCTGTGGAGGAATCCCCGCGGCTCCATGCGGGGCGGCGGCGTCACTGAGGCGGTCACTGAGCGGCAGAGGTCCCGCAGGCAGAGACCGATCCAAGGTTCGGAGGTTCGGCCGGTCTGTGGGTCCGTCCGAGCGGCGGCGGCGGCTTTAAATCAGAGGAGGCGCTCACCGTGACGTCACTATAACAATCACACCCCTTCCCCCGTCACTAATACTTCTGACGTCACTGGGATCCCTGCATGCAGATCTGCTTTATGTGACTGGATCAGAACTAAAAACCCAGTTTGGATCTGAATCTTTTTTATTTTAATTAAATTAATTTCTGTTTGATGTGTTAAAATTAGGATAAAATTTTCCTTCCTATAGCTGAGTGATGAGAAGCTCACATTTTATGGTTTATTTGACTGATTTATTACCTATTTGATTGATTAAATTTTTTGGAGTAGATTATTAAATAAATATGGAGACATTATATAGATTTAAAAGCTAAAAAGAGTTTTAAGAAAAGGAAATTTGAAGAAAAATATAAAAAGGGAATTTAATGTTTATGCAAAAGTCAAACAATATTTTTTACAGTTTGTTCATATTAAATTTTCCATAGGCTATATAAAAAAGCAAATATCGATTTTAGATATTATTATTGATTTTTTTTCCCTATTTTCTTTCCTAGATTTTCTTTTTTTTCAGTTTATACCTAAAATAGAAATATTTTTTCAGATTCAGTTTTTGTTTTACAAATTGCATTATTTATTTTAATTAAAAAATTCTGCCAACTGATCAAACAAGATAAAAAATACTAAAATAAGTAATCCAATTTTACAAAAAAACATCAGAAAAATACGAAAGAGGATTAGGGCCACAGAAATAAATAAAAAAAGTTAACTGATCTTTAAATATTATTTCAGTTTAATATGAGAAAAAAGTCACAATTCTGAAGGTTTTTTCCAAATTCTTACTTTAATCTCAGAATTCTGATTTTTTTCTCAGAATTTTTTACTTTCATTTCAGAATTCTGATTTTTTTGTTTCCTCAGAATTCTGAGAGATGTGGGAGTGCTGAGCTTTACTGACAAAGATGTGAGTTATTTGGGAGGAACAGGAACACATTGTTGGAAAATGACACAATTAGGTGACTTTTCCGTCCCTAAGGGTCCCTGGTGATGCTGTTTCATTAATGGAGGAGCAGAAGGTCATTAAAACAAGAGAGCTAGTCTCTAAAACAGACATGGCTACGGCTTGATGCTAACGTTTGTTAGCTGACAGAATTCAGTCAGAATTCTGACTTTTTCTCATGTTATACTGAAGTAAAATTTTAAAATCAGTTACATTTTTCCCCCAGTGGCCCTAATCCTCTTCTGAAGAAAAACAACAAAGTCAAAAATATTTTTTGAACTTTTTCATCCAAGGAAGGAAGGAAGGAAGGAAGGAAGGAAGGAAGGAAGGAAGGAAGGAACATACTTCCTTACTTCTCTAATAAAGAGCGCATGAGCAGACCGCGTCTCCTTAAGGCTGATTTATACTCAGAAACCAGGTGGTCTGCGTGAGTCACAGTGAACGTAGATATGGCCACGCCCCTTCCGCAAACACTCTGCTGCACCTCTCCAAAATTGTAGCTGACCGCAGACAGGAGGCCTCTGATTGGTCAATTCTACATCCGCCCTACTCTATGCATATTTCCTGTTTGCTTCCTTACCGACTTGTTCTGTTTGTCTGACCGCCATTGTGAAAAACGACTGGTGAAGTTGGAGCAGCTAGCAGAGCGAGGTGCGCAAGAACGCTGGGACCCCGCTTTTTTTGGCCCTCATGTCCCTCCGTTGTGCACAAACTTGCCCCCACTTCCTCACCACCTCGGCCGTATCTAGACCCACAGCTAGTCCCTGATTGGCCCTCTGGCGTTGTGGCGTGGAATAACATAGCACAGACCACGCTTCAATATTGGGCATAAATCAAAAATATCTGCATCATACCTGCGACACACTGCTGCGGGAGGCTAACCAGCACTTAGCGGCTCCTCCGCTAACAGCAACTGGGCGACCAGAGCTGGATTAGCTCTCATCTGCTTCAACGGGCGGATTCACAGAAAACTGCGTTCAACTCTGTGTTTATCACAGTAAAAAGACTACGTTCACTACGATCAGCTCCCTCTGAATCGTAGGAAAGGCAGTCTGACTCGGTCCAGCAAGCAAAGACTTCTCCGGAAGGATTTGGTCGCTACTTCGCGCAGCTTTCAGCTTAGAACCTGTGTGTCTAGCCGTTGCCACCGGCAACGGGAAGTTGAATAGGAGCCACTTCCTTAAATAAACTCCATCACAGGTTGTGACTTCAGGGGGGAGTCACTCCTGTTACATGACTGTCATTTGATCTTAACAGAGGGAACCTCTAGTGTTGCAGGTCATCACACAGAGACAGAGCGGTCCATGAAGACGATTATGTCCTGAATTAACTCTGATACAAAGGAATGACCGAAGGAGAAGAGGGGGGCTTTCAGGTCAGGAAACACAGAAGCAAACAATGTCAGTCAGTGGTCCGCAGCGCAGGAGGCAGTTCTGGAACCGTTCCTGTTCCCCCTACATCAGCTACCAAGGCCGCCACCTGTAGCCGCTTTCAGCTGCCACGGTCAACCGCATCAGAGGCCCCGTCACCGTGGAAACAGAGCAGGAAGTTGGAGACAGAAGTACATCATGTTAAACTACATGTTAAATACAGGTCAACAGATGCGTCCTGTCAGTGGATCGTCGCTCTGAGATCCTTCTCATGTATAAACCCTCGTGATGTTTTGCACCCATGATGCCAGTTTATGAAACATAAACGTTACCTCTTCCCTAGACAGACTGTTTTCCCAAAACACGGAGTCAAACTTTCTATTTACAGGAAAAATAAAGATGAGTGTTTGGTTTGTGGAAAATAAATCAGTGTTTCTAGACCAGACCGGGAGGAACCGCAGAAGGTGATCAGTGAGACAGTTTGGGCAACAAGACATTTCTCTTTATGACAACATGCAGGTCGTGATGAAACATGATGCCTGTGCTGAGAATCATACATCTGACTGAAAATGATCCTTAACTCCTTGCTTCTGGATAGAAAGAGATCTTATTTTTGATCCATCAGATGTTCTGGTGAAGATTCTCAGTCATCCAGGTCATTCCAAAACAAGTAAACAAACAATTCAATGGACTTTGTTTCCAAGTTTCTCTTCCCATCCAGGAAGCTTTTTCAATTCAAAACGTCACAAATAGCGTTGAGTTCAAGGCTTTATAGAGTGAACATGAAAGTTCACATTTTGGACAAAGAAGACAGATGGTTTGAAAGGGGCGTGAAGGAAGCTATCTATTTAAAAAAAGAAAAACTAACTTTAAATAGAGGGGGGGGGGGGGGACTCAGATTTCAAAAACCTACAATGCAGCAATAGAGGTGATTCCTTCACACTATCATCGCTACTGTATAAAACCTGGAACTCAACACTATTTCTGACATTTTGAATTGAAAAAGCTTCCTGGATGGAAGAGAAACGTCTTAAAACTTGGAAACAAAGTCCAGTGGATTGTTTTTTTACTTTTTTTTTCCTGGAATGATCCATCAGATGCTTCTGGATCCAGATCCATTATCGCTGGCCTAAGAAAGAACACAGAGCAGGGGGGAGTTCTCCAAAGGTTTGGTGTAAAACTGCTGATAATGATTCTGCTGCTTTCAGTCTGTCTGATGAAACAAAGCAGCAGGAAGAGAACGTCCTCAAACTCAAGGACAGCTGTGGACGCCGTGTTCTGACCGCCTCAATGGATCCGTCTCAGTTCGTGCCGAGCAGATCTGAGGACTCGACTGAACAGCTGATGGGTACAAATAAACTCTGTGGTTAAAGGGGGCGGTCTAATCTCTGGCTCTGCCCAGCTATTGGCTGAATGGATCTGGCTAACTGCTGTCCTGCACAGGGAAAGATTCTCTGGTATTATTGAAAGAAAGAAAAACATGTTTCAAAAGAAAAATGTGAAAAACTTCTCAATAAAAAAATTTTTTTTTTCTTTTTAAGAGAAAGTTATTTTTTTATGAACAACTTAAATTTTTTTAGGCAAAGGTTTAACCAGTCATTTCACAGTTTACTATTTCTTCAAAAAACTTTTTTTTTTTTTTCCAAAATTTAAAAAATCTATCACATTTTTTCCCTAATTGCATTATTTTAAAATCTCCTACTCTCTCAACATAATATAAAAAATAAAGAATTGAAAAAAAGCTTTCTTGGGAAAACAAGAAAAAAGTCAAACACTTTTTGTAAAAAAGATTTAAATAAATAAATAATCTATATCATCTGAACTAAAGCAAACTGAAAATATGGGTAAAGCTTTTTTTAAAATGCAAATTATAAATTAATTTCTGAACCTTCAGACCTTAATTTCTCAAAACGCATTTTCCTCAAATTAATTTCTGTGTGTTTTGCTCCATAATCTCTGAAATTATCCTCAGCACAACAGTGAAGCATTTGTCGCCCCCTAGTGGGAACTGTACAAACTGCACACAGAGCCTCTGGCAGCAGATAAAAAATTATTTATTCATGAATAAAAAAAAAGTAAACATACCCAAAGCAGAATCAATTACTTCTTCTTCCTCTACCTTATTAAACAGCAGAGTTTTTTTGTATACATGGTTAAACTGGTCCTTCAGCACCACCAGCAGGGGGTGCTGTTTCTAAAACAGTGGAATGGAAAAAATGAATAAAATATAAATCCAGATTTAATTTATTGATAACACAAACATTTTATTTTCACAGTGGTGGAGTGTTTGTTCTGGTTTAAATTCATAAAAAAAGATAAAAAAAAAAAACATTATGTGTTTAAAAAAAGAATAACTTCACAACATTGAGAACTTTTTAAATTTAAATAAAATGGAAATAAAATAGAAAATGACAATGATGTTATTTAGGCTACTTTATATTTTTTAAGGACATTACTATTATAATTTCTATTTCTAATAAAAATAAGTATAAAAGATTTACATTAAAAATGTCAGTCTTAAATGTGATATTTTACAGATCGGCTTTTGAATTGGCCGATTTTCTGCTGAAATGTTAATAAATCAAAATAAAATCGAGCTATTAAAATATATGATCACAGTTTTTAAAAAAGCTTCAGTTGGCA